CGCCCCTGTGCCGGCGGACTCGCTTCCTCGCAAGGCTGGTCAGACCAACAACGCCCAGAACGCCGGGCGGTCCTCGACGAACAACACCAAAGATGCTTCCATCGGGCCCAAGCAGTCTTCTAGCGACAAAGACGCCGCCGCTTCTTCTTCCGGCAACAGGGCTTCGAGGTCCGGCACCGCGTCCTCCGAGCCGCCCAAGTCCGCCACCGCGTCCTCCAAGCCGCCCAAGTCCGCCGCGGCATCCCCGGCCCCGTCCCCGGCCCCGTCCAAGTCGCACAAGAAGAAGTCCACCACCGCGGACGCCGGCGGGGCCAACGCGCCCCTCGCTTATACCACCCCTATGCGCACGCGTTTCCACCCCGCGGTAAAACCCTCCCTTGAACTTCAACCCGAAGCTCTGAACCCAACCCCCTAGAACTGAAACCCTGGAACTGGAATCCTAGTCCCACCCAAGCCCTGGACCTTCAACCTGAAACCCTAAACCCTGAAACTGGACCCACAACCCCTAAAATGAAATCCTAAACCCTAACCCCTCGAACTGAAACCCTAAACCCTACACCCTAGAACCAGAACCCTGGAACTGAAACCATAAACCCAACCCCCAAACCCTAAACCCTAAACCCTAAATCCTAAATCCTTAAAATGAGACCCTAAACCCTAAACCCTCGAACTGAAACCCTAAACCCACCCCCCAAACCCTAAACCTTAGAACTGAAATCCTAACCCCTTTCTCAGGCGGCTGGTCCCAAGGGCACTACCAAGGAAGTGACACAGGACAAGACGCCAGCAGTCCCGGCCGACACCCTCAAGCGCACGCGCGACTCCTCTCTGGTACCACCCCTCCTCTCTGGTACCACCCCTCCATAAACACACCCTTGTCTTAAAGGAGTGACACTAGCCCTAGGGTTCTGGGTGACACATCGAGGGGTTAAGGCGCGTAGGGTCTACAAAGCACATCTAGCGGTTCTAGTATTGAGGATCCACGCCTCCCTTTTTAAAGTGGAAACCCTCGGTCCTAACCCGTGTCATGGGCTCGCAGGAGACCACCAAAGACATACACCAAGGCCCGCATGGCGTCGGCAGCTCCAAAGACGTACGCCAAGGCCCGCATGGCGTCGGTAGCTCCAAGGCGAGGAAGTAGGCTGCAAGACCAAGGGCTGGTCTACAAGAGGGGGTACTTGAGAGTATCCATCAACCGACTAGTAGGCTCGTATTCCCTATGATAGGACCCTATGGTAGGGCCCTGTCCCAGGACCCTATGGTAGGGCCCTGTCCCAGGACCCTATGGTAGGGCCCTGTCCCAGGACCCTATGGTAAGGCCCTGTCCCAGGACCCTATGGTAAGGCCCTGTCCCAGGACCCTATGGTAAGACCCTGTCCCAGGACCCTATGGTAAGGCCCTGTCCCAGGACCTTATGCGAAGGCCCTGCCCCAGGACCTTATGCGGAGGCCATATAAGCACTCATGATGCATAGCACCTTCCACACACCAAGCAGTGGTAGTGTACCCAGTGGTGGTGGCTGGGACTTCTCATACACCCGTGTGTGATTGAAGACCCCCTCGTGCGAGTATTTCCTTCTGTGGGGCTTTTCACCCGTGTCTTGGCGTACAAGACACGGGTTTTCACCCGTGTCTTGGTTCCACTCCCACCACTCGCATCCACAGACGTACAGGTGTCCACTCACGCCACTCCCATTCCACTCACATCACCTCCCATTCCACGCACGTCCTCTCCAGACCACAAGAGGACAGACACCACACACCATCCACCCGCCCTCCACAACTCCACACAAACTCTGTAAGCCAGTCTTAGAATAGGTTGTTTCTGTTTGTCATGACACCTCGTCCATGTCCTCTTTTATTTAAGCAATGGGGTGTCATCTTCAAAGTACAGAGCTTCTCTCATATATACCACCCTACAAACTAATCCCGGTTTCCAAAATGTCGAAAGCACGCACCTCCACCGTTCCAGCCGTTCCAGCCGTTCCAGTCGGTCCGGCGCCTTTTAAAATTTCCATGGATTATACGCACTTGTATGGTCAAGTTGCTCAGTCTGTTACCCAGGGCGCTCTCAAGTCTAGTAACGCAGGCCTGTGGATGATAGAACAGTCCCGCATCGACCAAATTGTCAAAAATAAGACATGTCGCCAGCTACTCAGGGACACGGACCATATTGCCAATACATGGGTCGCAGAGAAGGGCCTTGCTGAAAACACATGGGTCGTCGGCAGGATTGTTTCCGCTGAATGGAAGGCTGGTGTCGATATACAGGTAAAGGTTGACTTTCCAGGATATCGAATCGCTAAAAATGACAGGCATATAATTTGTTCTCTGGGGGTGCACAACAAAGGCAGTGAAGTTAAGCTTGATACCTCTAGTAATACGTTCAAATGCCTGTCTAATCGAAATGCCGGCGGCTCCAATAAACCGGCGGATCTAATCATGTTCACCACGGACCAGCTGGGGTACAAGGATGATGCTGGATTGGAACAAGCGCGAGTGTCTCTTTCAACCTTTTCGGCCGATATCACACAGCGCAGCAACCACCTTTCGCAACGCGAGAAGGAACTGAAAACCGCCCAAGAAACTCTTAAGGTTGATATAGACAAGTTTGAGAAGGAACGGGGTACCGACTCGACTAAAACCAACTTGGTGACCACCGAACTGGAGAAAGAGCTGCACGATGCACTTGAGAATACTAGGAAGCAGGCGATGAAACTGGAAGAACTGCGCCATGAATTCAAACAGAAATCTGCCAATACTGCGAAAGATACCGAAGCCCGCACTGAACGTATCCAAGTGAAGCTCACCCAAGCTAAAGAAGGGTTGAAAAAGGCCAAACAGGACCAGGCAGTCCTCTCTGACAAGTTTGCAAAGTCACAGAAAGAGAAACTTGAGTCAAACGACGCCCGTCTCAAAGAGCTAGAGAAGGAGCTTACAGAGGCACACAACCAGACAGATCAGTATAAACAGCAAATGGCCCAGCTTGAAACCCACCGTAAGAACGTTGATAACCCCGATAACTTGGCTAGCATCAAAGACATGGAAGACAAGATGAAACAGGCGGATGTCCAATTGCAATCCAAGGTTAAATATAACGACCTGGTCGCCAACGGGAAGGCACACAAAGAAAAGACAGCGGAGCTTCTACTTCAACACCAGCACGAACTCAAACAGGCCACTCAACGAAGCGCTGAGCTACTAGGGGCACTTGAAAGGAGTGAAAATCTCTACAAACAACTGCAAAAGGTGCATAATACCACCCCTGCTACCAAGGCTGGGGCTGAATACGGATACCGTTCCATCAGGTCTCGATTTGAAGACGGAATCCGTCCCACCGAAAAAAGGTACCGAGGCGAGTACGAAACCCCGCGGTCGATGGACAGTTATGCGGGTGGTCGTATGGACAGTTATGCGGGTGGTCGTATGGACAGTTATGCGGGTGGTCGTATGGACAGTTATGCGGGTGGTCGTATGGACAGCGATGCGGGTGATCGTATGGACAGCGATGCGGGTGGTCGTATGGACAGCGATGCGGGTGGTCGTATGGACAGCGATGCGGGTGGTCGTATGGATACCGAGAAGACTTTCCGTGACAATATCGTGGACAAGGTCATGTTGTCACTGGGTGGTGGTTCAATGTGAAATAAAATGTATGAGTATAAGGTTATATAAAATGGAACCAAATGGGTAATACAAAAAGTAGAAACGGGGTTTCTACTTTTTCCCCCGTTTCTACTTTTTGGTCTACTCTAATGGGGAAAATCGGCCCTACTGTGGACTTATACTCAACTGGTTATACAAATAGACACGCCTCTATCAAAGAACTATGGATCGAGGGTGTGACCCCGCTTTTATTGGAAGCTTTTGCAATTCACCTGTGGGTACCACCTATAGCCAATAGTCTAATCAGCACACGCCCCATGATTGCAGGCAGCCATGCATTAACCCTAGCCGTGATAGGGTCCGTTGTAGCGATCTTCACATTTCTTGTGAACCTATGGATACACCCGCACACACATAGCATCCTCGCGAAAACAGGCGTTGGTGAGAGCCCTCTGTTCCGTAGTGTTTGGGTGTTCATATGCGCATGTGCAGTCTCTCGTTACACGGGGAATGATGGGATAATGCAATTCACAGTCGTGACAATACTGCCATTGGTCTATGTCCGTGTACCAGAACAGCTCGCGTCTTGTGCTGCGGTCTATGCTGGCATCTTTTCGATACTCTGCATATGTCACCATATTGCTCTTTTCGTGGCGGGGCGTCCTTTTTGGACAGAAGCACCTGTTGATACCACACACCACCACGGCTATAGTATTGCAAGTCACTCGGCCGTATTCGTGGCTACGTCTGTTTACCACATCCTGTGGTTTTCGTCACACAGACACACTTCAGACCCAACCCAACAACCAAGTTTGTCGTATTTCTTCTTTCCGTGGGAAACGTCCGCATTACCACTGTCTGTGTTCAGAACCATCTTAGTGCTTCTCTCAATGTTTGAGCATGTCGGTCATGCAACGCAAACGGACGGCATAACATACACGAATCAAAAAGTTGTCGAGTTCCTTCGGATACTCTTCCTATTCACAACAATCTCTACGTTTACCGCGTGGACCCATTGCCAACACAAGCATCATAATAGACTCTGAACTATCATATGTGCTTCCGTGACAACTGCAACCTGTGGGATGATTGCAGTCAACATACAACATCATATGTTTCTCTGGGCGGTGTTCATTGTCGGGATCATAATTGACGTTGTATACTGCACGAACCTCCCTCAAGAGAAGCAGCATCGGTCTTAATAGTCTGTCAACTGCGTGGGGGTTGTTATTGTGTTTGCGGCGAGTAAACGTAATTTCCATATCCCATATGCCCTTGTTTCTGTATCATAGTATCGACTGTCATTCCATCTTATGGGAGGATGGGAGGATGGGAAAGTGGTACAGAAGCCTCCTGCGTTGCAGGAGGCAGTGGGTTCGAATCCCGACATAAAAAGGGTGTGTAGCTCAACCGGTAGAGCGTTTCACTTATTATGAAACGGTTGCCAGTTCAAATCTGGTCATACCCATTGTCTTTTGCCCATCATATATGGTCTATCTATTCCTTTTTACCTGCATTAAGACACCAGCACGTTTATGGATTTGATCAACAACAGACAACCCCACACATGGGTTCTATTTTTGCACGCAGTTAACTACATAGTCCAGTTTATTGTATACCACACCACAAGCGTGGTACAATGCACCCCTTTCGAGAACAGACACGCTATAAGATTGACTTTACGTACTTTTATTACACAAATCACTTTAAACTACGGCTCAATCTCCGTCCGAATCACTCTCGTCTTCAAAGGCCTGCGAGCCCCCAGCCACCTTGGGAAAAGTAATACCGGCTTCTCCATTCTGATTCTTACGAACGGCATGCAGAGCATCCAAGTTCTCCTGAAGCAGCTTGTTGAGCTTGTTCCTTTCCATGACAATCTCCTTCTCACCATCTGACAAATGGTTTTCCTCTTCAACCTTCTTCACGTGTTCTGCATACACCGTCTCGGCCTTCACGAGGGCATCGAAAAGCCCCTTGGCGTCGGGGGGTACAGTAGCAGTGGTTGCCATAACAAACTGGCGGATCTCCGAAGCCTCGCGGAACAGTTCCTGCATACCAGAGAGCTTAATCTGACCATCGTCGTCATACTGCACGCGACGGCGACGAGCATTCCCGGTGGGCGGCGACGGACCCGTCGCACCCACAGGCGTAACTGCGGCATTTCCGCCATTGTTCTTCTTACCACGGCCCATATCTATATTGCTGCTGGTCTTCTTGTGACGAAACCGCTTTTATACTCGAGACACCTCATCCGATCTGAAATACACGCATCGCATACCACGACTATACGAAAATATACCAACCAAATCCGTGAAACCTTGTACGTGAAACACGTGTTGGCATTTTATTTGTCATTGGTGAAATGACAGGGTATTCCCGTTAAAATACCCCCGTTAAAATTGGAATGTTCTAAATAAAAGTAGAAAGATTGAAAGTTGTCAAGTTACTGCGCAGACACGTGCAACCCAACTAAAGCTGCACCACACCCACCACGAGCTAAGTGGAGTACCAAACCACAAGCCTGACACGGGTCTACCCATGGCATCCACTAAAAAACGGATCTCGAAAAAGACAGCGACCCCACGCCTCGGTTCTACACACCGCAACGCTACACTCTCTGTAGAGGCACAATGGCCACCCGCTGGAGCCGTCCAACATGGACCTTACGTGCTCACCGCGGGAGAGTACTGGGTGGGAGACTTGTCCACTGTACTCAGTGGTGCCGAATGGGGAGAGGTCGGTGACACCGAGGGGTCTGTTACGTTAAAAAACGGCCGTACCGTCGTTGCATTCAAGCTCCCTGAAGGGAGTGGCATTTACCCCGGGAAAGATAGACACAATCATCTCATCGAGAGCGGTATGGTTGGTATTACAACGACAGCTGGTCTCCCAGAAGAGGCACGAGTGACCGGCCAGATCATCGACTACACCAACGCGTTTTCTTCTACGTCGATCACAGTCGCGCATCCGCAAGGGGGAGGCGACGTTTCCTTCAACACATTTGGACCCAAGATCGAGATCGACTCGGACGACCAAATATACTCAACGGCCCAGTTCTTTCGGGAGGCGGTCTCTTCCAAGCACCGCTGAGACACTAGGTCCACAATACTGAGGTTCTTGTTCGACGTGTAGGCTGTGACACCAAGAGGTGGTCACTGGAACAGCCACCGAGACCCTAGGTCCACAATACTGAGGTTCTTGTTCGACGTGTAGGCTGTGACACCAAGAGGTGGTCACTGGAA